TTTATAACTGTACTGCACCTTTGTAATACAATTGAAGCTACTAACGAATATTAATTGTTCATACTGATAATATCTTTATTATACTAGAGTATATTTTTAGCTAGTTTAAATAATACACATTTTTGAGTCGTAGGCTATTTTACAAATAGTTATCCTGAATTACACATTAAAATAACCAACTGTCCATATTCTTTCGGTATGTTTTCGTCACATGACGTTTGTATTTTAATTAGGGGCCTGCAGCATTTTATCGACGAAGATTTTTGTACCTGTTAATCATATTGATCTATCAATTGCTTTAAGTACGTGACAACAGAAAGAAATATCGGTAAAATACCGCGGTATTTTAAATGTGTGAAGAATTGTATTCTATTTGTTCACATCTCTTTAAACTTGTGTTTTTTGTCAATTGAAGCATTTCCTTCAGTTAGTCCACGAAGAATACGTATACAAGGAATGGAATTTTAAAAGTCGGAATAATCAGTGATATTTTTCTCTAAATCATATGAACGTCTTACTTTAGCAACAATATACTTGTGTGTTTAACATACAAATGCGACTGTTCTAACTACTATTCGAGAGGGATTTGGGTTTTATTAATTTTTCATGTAAATTCTCAGGTAAAAAGCACGCTGGATTTCAAATGGCGCATTTAACGGCGTATCTGTAAGTTCATTTCCAGGTAAGATAAGAATGCAGCGGCGGCCCTGAAGCGTCCTTTTCAAGGCAGTCTTGACGAATGTGTTTTCGTTATTTCCGCGGCCGAGTCATTTCGCGATGGTCCCCCGAAGCGCCTCGCCGCTAGAGAGCGTGTCGCCAGCGCCTGCGAGCGTCCGGAGAATATCAAGCGAGACACGCTGAGGTGCGGAGCGCCGGCGGGGTGCAGGCGGCCAGTCTTCGTGAAATGTGCGCCGGAGGTGTGCCGTCTCCTTCTCTGAGGTTTTTCCCCCACGCCGTTCTATCCAGGCAGGCGAAGTCGTTGTATTTTTTTGACCATCACGGTAAGCATATGCCGTAAGTGACACTTTACAAATATGAGCAACCGCCCCCCCCTGAAAAATCGGTCTCTGCTCAGATCCAGGATCATCTCGCTTGATAAAGTAGAAGGGAAACCCACTACGATCTGACAACTTTAAGCGCTTTACTATTAAGCAGAGGAGGTAAATTTAACAAGGAAATGTTTTAAAAGTCCAGATTCATGTTATGGGAAGAGCCAGATCTTAAGCTAAATACTGGGGGAAAAAATCCGGTTTTATTCCCGAGAACATAGGGCTGCGATCGTGACTTCGACGAGAACTTAAAAAAGTATCCGTTTCTATCAAAGTTTGTACATAACTGTTACATATTAGTTGCCTAATTGGTCCTTTTGCGCGTGGAATATCTTAATGAGCCGTTATACGTTTTGATCTAGTTGTTAAAAACTTTTACAATGCGGATGCGCCGATAGAGAGTCGATCTCCGTGTGTCATGGTTGGCGAGAGAGGAGGTGGGTGGATGTCTGGACTGAAGTTAGATATCCTGCAAGCGTGCGTTAGGCGCAGCTTTAAGGTAACGATTGCCACGGCTGCAAGTAATATGATCTGCGGCGTACAGGGAGCAGTTCGCGGGCGCCTCCCAATCTCCCCGACTCGGGGTCTGTGTCGACACTGAGCAGAATGCCATACGTTTACTATATTTTGCTTAATTCAAAATAAATAGCATCTTTTTTCTTCCTTATATTCATTTTTGGTTATGGTTACAGCACTATACAGCAATTCGTATCATTCTCGATACTACGTATGAAAAGAAAGGAAATTGCAGAATGTCTACTGATACGTTCAAAAATAATTTTAATGTGTCGCTGCTATTAAACGAGGTGAGACTTTCTGGTTAATATAGATCTATCCTCTCCAAACGTCCTTATGTTTCAGTTACCGGATCATTTCACAATTAAGTCTTATTCCCTAATGTTATTTCAGTGAAAAACACTGTAACATAAAAGCACGTGTAATGAAGTATTAAAAATGCCATTGCTATCTGGTTGGCTGTTGATTCCATGGATTTCGTAAATTATTGATTCAGATTCCTCTTGCAAGTATAAGCCAACACTTGTCCTGAAAATATCCTGAAAACATTTCTGTACTGGAATGCAGTTTTAATTTTCGTAATTGACTTATCTACCTTAAGCAGTTAGCGGCATTATATGTTTGCATTCATCCAAATTGAAATGCCTCCTTCTTGCATAAAGCCGTTTTATGTTGACGGGCAATAATTCCATTGGCACTTCAGATTTCACAGACATTAAGGAGACACATTGCAAGGAGCCTTGATTTTTCATTTCTCTCCTGGAAGTGCCACCTCTGTCCCATTAAGAGAGCTAAGAGGTAACTAATCATTTGAGTTGGACAAGTCATCAGAGTTAGAAATGGTTCTCTGTTACCAATTTGAAATAGCATTGCGATGACGCACACACAGGAGGTTATGCAGAGGTGGAAAGTTCCGGTCCAGAAAGATAAAATCCAGACCAAGATTTTGTTTCAACCAACCATTTCAGTACTCTGTCACTGTGACTCCTAGTACTCAACTGGTTGGTTGAAACAAAACTGTGGTCAGGATTTGTACTTTCTGGACTGGAACTTTCCACCTCTGCAGACATATATTGACTACATACCATTATAAAGACTACATACTATAGCTATTTATATGCGCCTGTGTAATGAAGTCTTTAATGACTGACATGCTGTTTAAAAATAGTCACAAAATGGAGATTGTTTATTTCGTTTATCCTGTATTAAACCCTTTCATACCAATCTCACGCATTAATTCAGCCTTATAGGATTAACAAGTCGACCGTCTGCTAATTTAATTGTTTTCATGCTGTGACTTTGGGACTTGATCGCTGCTGTCAGTCTCGCTGGGTGAAAAGCGTTTAAGCAGAATTTCTCAAAGAGACGGGAGCCTCATTAAAGTTCAGCAGGCCGTTTCTTTGTGCTAAAGCGTCGAGGTGATTCTATTTCTTTTCTGTTAGCAGTTCAAGCTTTGCCTTTTAAATTGTACTGCAGTTACTGTGCACCTACAAGTGATGATCATTATGATTTTAAATAAGAAACAAGGCAAAATGTGAAAATAGATGGTTTTTGTCTTCTGAAATTAGGGCCAGCTGGCTGAAAGGACGACTAGTTAAGGATGTAGTGAGTGAAATTAGAAACTCGACTTTTATTATTTATTTATTTATTTATTAGAAAAATGGTGATTCGGGCCAACAAGGAACATTATTCATCATGTGGCATCGTCAGAATTTTAGTAAATATATGGAGGTAAGAGATGCTTGGTACAGGCTATCACAGGTAAAGAAGGGAGATTAGAAATTAAACAGAGGGATCAGATGCAAAGTAAAATGGTAACTAAAGTGATAATGGTGCATTTCAGTCAAGTAGTCAGTTTGGGTTTTAAGGACAGGTCTGTCTAAGCAGAGGAAATATGTTGGGAACAGGCAGTTCTTTCAGAATTGGGATTCAGGCAGTGGTCTCAGAAAAAAAAAAGATGAGAGAAGTTAGATAAATGCATAACCTGGAGTCTGCATTCATTTCAGAAGAATACATTCTGCAGATTAATCTATGCAAGTTGCAGCAAGGACGACGTCATCCTTTAAAACAACTGACTGAGATCATACATACCTGTATAGCCAACAAGTAACTTTACTGATGAAGTAGTTAAGGAAAAAAGCACGAGTTAAAAAAAGTCTACCAACCTGAAAACTAGTATATTAATAAAAACAGCTCTGTTTTTGAATTGTGTTAGATAAAGGCTTCAGAGGCAGCAAGTGATATTTGATAAATGCCAGGATCTTCCCAGATCCGGCAAGTTGCACGCAGAGTGGAAAAGTTAGATTTTGGACTGGAAAAAGAGAATGTCGGTACAAATGCAGGGTGCACGTTCAGGGTTATTTATTAACCTAATATTTGATGTGGGTTGAATTTCTACAGTAGCTAAACAAGTCTAATGTGGTTTTAAACTGCGTGTCAGAGTATAGTTGTTCTGTATGTAAAAGCTTATATACAAAACCATTTTGTATCAACTTGGCTGTTGGTCTGTGTTGCAGGGAAGGAAAATACCAGGTACTAGATAAAGTTTATCTTCTGCGGAACTTGATGACTTTGTTTATATCTTATTTCTTTGTTTTGCTAACAGTTGTGTTGTTGGGTTTTATAAAAGGTTCACCGGTCATTTGTCCACGCGCACAGCTAATAACGGCTGTGTATAAAGCATAGAATTTCATACATTTCATTATAGCCTGTGTGCATTTGGGCGTCAGAAGGGAAATTTCTTTAAACAGCAGACTGGCATTTGTCAAAAGTTGAAATGTAGCAGGTCATTGGCACGTTACACAAACAGTACTGAACGTTAAGAGTCGTAGGAAGGCGGTCCTTATTTACAATGTCATTTGTGACATTTCCCATACTAGAAGCCATAGACGATATTCGCTTGGTGTGGCCTTGGTATTTGTTAGATGAAGCGAATCTGTAAAGCATCTTTCTCCTCTGGAAGCTTTGAAGTTTTAAAGTCTCTGTATTGGGTTTTAAAGTCCAGGCTGGTAAAGAAAATGCTTTGCAAGTCAGCAACCGTGATGGCAAAGCGTGGAGAAATTGAAGGGAAGAATTGGGATGGAGCGCTTTGATCAACAAAATTGGGTTAAATCCGCTGAGACGTCAAAAAGGAGGAAAACTGGGGTTTGAGAAGAAGCGGAACACAGGCAGGACATTACAACCACAGACTTTAAGGTATATGTGTGTATATATATGTTTAAGTTGTTGTTGTTCTAGTGCTAGGTATTTTGGGAAGCATCTGCCGCATTCACGGCTTTCAGACAGGTATTTGGATGTATAGAATTCTTCCACACCTGAGATGAAGTGAAGAACACGAAACCAGACCTGCCAGTCACTGTAGTCCCATCAGAATAAAGGTGTGATTTTTCTTTTTTGGCAGTGAACGTTGCAGAAAAGAAAAAAAAAAAAAAACAGCATTACTCAGAAGCCTGTAAACAAAGCACTCAGAACTAGTATGTTAATCAGTACAGGCAGTCTCTGGGTTAAAAACATCTCACATATGGACAACTCATACTTACGAATGGACTACCTTAAAGTGTATTATATATAAATTTGGGTACGCTACTTTGTGACTCTCGTAAATACATTGCGTGGTGTCAGCCAGTTGTCTGCTTGAGGTACGGAACAGTACTATGTGTAGCTACTTTTATTATTAAACTATTATTATCGTTGTTATGTACCATGTCATTGTCTTCCAGACTTACCTACAAATTCGACTTTAAGACAGACTTAGGGAATGGATCTTGCCTGTAACCCGGGGACTGTCTGTATACCGTAGTCGTCTTTTTTTTGTCGTCACTTGGTTTATTTGGTTTAACTTGTCTTACCTTGCATTTTCAGATTTAAATTGCGTATGATTTACAAATATCGCAGTGGTTCCAAGCAATTATCCATTAATCTCAAGGCAGCTACTGAAGTTTGAAATGTCTATTAACGATCGAGATTCTTTTAAGAATGTTTTGTTTATCTGGTTTTTGTTTGGGAGAAACGCTGAAAATTGGCTTCAATGTTTGAAAAGGAAATTTAAAATCTGCAAATGTGACGCACTTGTCTTCCATTTCGGAGTGTCTCCCTTTGCACTGCTCTTAATTAGGAAACATGAAAGCGAGTAGCTGGACGTTTACATGGAAGCCTAAATATGCAGAATTCCTTATAATGGACTAAGTAGCTCAAAGAGAGTTTTTGTTTACGAGTCTGTTGGAATGTAAACAGCATCTAAAGTTTTCATTTTAAACTTTTCCAGGGCATAGTTTAAGATGTGCCTGTGAAGACATACAGGACAGTAAAAACAAAATAAATAATTACATAAAATCAGATTCGGAGCTGTCAGTGTCAAAACTCTGTGTTATAATAAATGTACATAAAAGTGGATCTGGATGAATTAGCTGGAAATGCGACAGAAAATGACTTTCTTAGTTTTCTTTCTAGAAAAAGTTACATCATCTGCTTCGCCGAATTCGAGGGTGGAGATAACCATTTATTGGCTACGAAGCTCAGAGGTCTGTTGCTATACCCTGTTATGCTCAGGGTATATTGTTAGTGTTCTAAAAAGACATTTTTTTATTAATAGAATCTTGTAGGTTCCTGTGCTGTATTCTGTGATTGTCTTGTACGCTGATTATTATTCCAGATGCTCGCTCCCGTCCCTTAAGCAGCACTTGTGGAGGCAGAGAGGGGCTCTTTTCCAGTCTGTTGCCACCGTCTACACAGCACTTTGCCTCTGGCGTACACGTGTGACATTAATGGGGTCATAAACCCTTTTACAGCTGACGAGGTTCGCGTACAACTCCGCTGTGGATTTCCATTTCGTTGGCAGCTCTTCCACTCCCACGGATGACATTAGTAAGAGTGACGCAACAATCTGACGCGGCTGTTGTGTTTTCTTTCAGGGCGCCATGGCAATTCTCCTTTGCGTGAGTCTGTCTCTGATTCTCCTCCCGCAAGTGGGATCTGTGAGGAACTGCCACCCAGGGTGTCGCTGTGAAGTGGAGAACTATGGGCTTTTTGACAGCTTCAGTCTGACCAAGGTGTACTGCAGTGGCGTGGGACCGAGCTCAGCCCCCATTCCCATCCCACTAGACACGTCTTTCCTGGACCTGTCCTCCAACTCCATCTACACCATCACAGACTCCATGCTCACAGGCCCCGGGTACACCACCCTCGTCAGTCTGGATCTTAGCAGAAACTACATTTCCGAAGTTCACCCCAATGCACTTTCCAGACTACGATATCTGGAAACCTTGGACCTTAGCCAGAATTCCCTCGAGGACTTGACGGATGGGGTCTTCACAGGCCTGCCACTGACAGAGCTAGATCTGAGCAGCAACAAGATCCAGGAGTTGAGGCTGGACATCTTCTCGACTAAGGCCCATGGGAAACCCATCAGCGTGGATTTGTCCAATAACTTGTTGGCAGCCGTTTCTCGAAGACCGCACACAGGCCCTCCCAATATCAAGAGCCTAACCCTGGCAGGGAATTTACTCAGAACTGTGCCTGATCTTCGTGGAATTCCCCTGAGGTATCTGAACTTGGATGGAAATCCGATCTCAAGTATTGAGAAGGATGTATTTGTAGATCTGAAGGATCTGGTCCATCTGTCCCTTAGTGGTCTACCTACACTCACTGCAATCCAGCCCCAGAGCTTCAAAGACCTGCAGAACTTACAGGTCCTTGACTTATCAAATAACCCTAAGCTGGATTCGTTGAATCCAGAGATATTCACTGGCCTAATCGCTTTACAGGAGCTTAACTTGTCTAAATCTGGCGTGATGTCATTGCCAGATAACATTTTGAGTTATGTGCCAAGTATCCGAAGTCTTTCTCTAGGGAAAAATATTCAGTGCTGGAAGACCCAGAAGCAAGGCCAGTTCCATAGGCAGATCGGACAGACTAAGAGTGGGGAGGTACTTACCTGTGATGTCAGTGACATCAGTTTATAAGGTTTTATTTTGCAGTATACTATCTATACAAAAAGACCTTCATTTGTGCCTTTACGTATCTTTATCATAAAAATTATGTATATATATATATAGTTTTTTTATTTTTTTTCCTGCTAAACTTGATGATTGTCTTTTGAGGTTTTATTTCAGTATAATTTAAGAATAACATACCTTTGCACATATGCATATTAAATCCAAGCAAACTGCAGCTTTTAAAACAAAATCTAGGATATGAAAACACTGTGGATGACGATATGGACTGAGGTCTGAAACGAAAGAGTTTATGCTGCGTTAAACATGCTAAGAATACTGACCATCTCTGTGCGTCTTCTTTAGGAAACTTGACATGGCCGAGTTCATGTCTCATGCCTTCCACACTCTGATGAAAATCTGATTTTACACAGTGTGCAAATTCTGATGCTAAAGGACAGTCTCCACCTGAGCATCGTCAGACAGCAGAATTAGACGTAAGCTTAATGTAATCTACAGTCCCTTGAAACCACATAGCTGGATAGCTGAAAAACGACTTATGTTCCTGAGCCGAGACATATTGTATAAAAATATGCATTAGCTGAATATATGCAATGGAACACAAAAAGCACCTAAATCCTACTCTCATTGATTTAGTAGATTATATTTCTATTATATTTCTTGTAACTTTTAAGACTGGGCTAAATGGTAAGAACGACATATTGAAATGTATTTCAGTATTGCTGAACGTCAGCATGTATTTACACAATATTTGTCCCAAGTATTTGTTACGGAGAAAGAATATCGTTGCCTTAGCAGAGCACACCAAGCAACAAGATGCTAAAGTTGTTTCAGCTGACCATGTCGTAAGTAGCTGGACGTGTAGTGCCGTGTTCATGAATACATTTTTGGTTTTTGCATAAAAGCCCCCTTGGGCATGGAAGGAACAGAGCTCTGAATTTAAGGTGTGTTTTTGTGAAACCCCATGTACTTTTGTTTTACATGGTTAACATGTAGCCTAAACATATTTTCCCTCACTAATGTATGGTTTGCTACCCCAAGAACCAATGTGTTTGACTGTAATCTTAGCTGATAACAGACAAAATTAAGCTACTTTGCCAATTTAGATGGAACATTAAGACAAACCTTGTGTATGTGTGTGTGAGAGCCGATATACATGAAATGTAAAAATGTATTAGGTATATTTTCAGTGAGAAGGGGGGTGGGTACATTTCCTGTGTTTTTCCACTGTGAATATAAATTTTATTTATGATACTCCTGTCTTAATTCTTGGGATGTAATAGTTGGTTGCTATAACTAATTAAAATAACCATTTTCTTCATTTAAACAGTAAGAGTTCATAATTCTGAAGACTAGAAACATATTTAGTACTTGATTTGGTTAGGAGTCACAAATAGCTTCACCTTCGGTTTGCATAGAGTTAACATGAACAACTTAGTTACTCCACCGGTCATTGAGAACAATCCCAGTTTTCCTCTTCACTTGGTAAAGGAACCAGAACACCATGACATATACTTTCTTATCACAAAGCTTCAGTGTTTCCCCTTTTTTTCATGTTTTTATTGAAAAATAACATCTATGGAATTATTTCTGCTGGCAGAAAACAAGCGAATGGCTAAAGTAAATCTCGTAATAAAAAATACAGTACTATTGAACTATTATATTTACTAATGTTAATCTTTTTCATCATTGTGTTTTATCTGATGTGAGAATCAGCATCACAAATGGAAATAAAGTATCTTGAATAAAGCATCATGAATCCTAAAGAAAATTTTTTGTATGTGGATGTCAACACATTGTGTGCATGTATATGTTACATGAGAATTAAAGGATTCTTCACATATGACCTGGTCTGTGTACACTGCAGAGTCAGAGTCAATACAGGCAATTTCCCTTTTTGTTGCTCGAAGAGGAGTCCGATTGCTGGACACGTCCATATTTAATATCGTACGCGTGTTGCCGTATAATCACAGCTAGCCGAAAACGCAGCCTAGTGACCTCATTGCCATCGTGGTGAAATGTTTATAAGGACAGTCGCTGTCTACCACACTGGAGGGTGAAATCATTTGACACAGTATCGCTACTCCCCACCAGCCATGTTGGGTGTGGAAGGTGGGGTCTCAGAGTGCTATTCTCAAGTGCCAACGTCAACAGAATTCCTGACCCCCTCCCTTAGCAGGATCCATTCCACACAAAACAGAGGCGTGGTGTGGATTCTGAAGCTAGGGACTCAAAAAAGGGGCGAGGTTCATCCGATTCTATTGACTCAAAGTATACTAGCATTAATGTCTAAACCCAATACACTTGCCCCTCAAAAAAAAGAAAAAAAGGATTAATTTTGAGCACGTCTAGTTCTAGGTCTGTGTAGACTGCTGTCTTTGTGGGGGGTATTTTTTGCAAAATTTTTCACAAAAAGAAAAAAATTTGCCTTAAACCCGAAACACTAGACGACACTTTGTGACACGTCCTCTAGGAATCATGAACTGAAGGAGCAGGGAAAGGAGAGTACAGACATTGCCCAGAATTCTCCTTCGTGCAAATCTTTCTGCAGTCTTTCCCACAGCAACTACAAGTCTGTGCGACAAAGGCCCACAGCGGACATCCTTTGAATTTTCTGGTGCTCAGCCCCTTTCTAACTCTCAAATCATGCAGTGTTTCCCAATCCAGTCCTTGGGGACCTGCAGACAGTCTGTGTTTTGGCTCAGTTCAGGTTTTGCCTACTGGGACCTGGGAGGGAGCAAAAATGTGATCAGTCCCAGGGGGTTGACAGGGTCCAGGTTGGGAAACACTGCTTTAGGAATGGAACAGTAAGACAGAGTAGCTCAATAGGTAGTAAATCCGAGGGATGATCTGATCCCTCTCAGCTCTGTGTGTAGGATTTACAAGTCCCCTCTGTGTTTGCAAGAGCTTTCTACATGCATGGTGTTACGATCCCCAGTCTAGGGTTGGGGATCGCCAGAAAGGTAGAGGAGAGGGAGAGGGGAAGACAGGACAAGCAAGGAACGGGAAAGGGGAACACAGGACACAAAGGGATCTTTTTTTGTATTTTTTTTATATTTATTCACAGACACGGTTACAAACACGAGGTGCAACAAACTTCGGGAGTGACCCACGCCAAAATAACCAAAACAGCTAACGAACACGTCCCAAACTAAGCTAACTCTGAAGGTAATGAAAACAAGAGGAAACAAAATGACAAAGACTAAGTAACTCCCTAAACCAAAACAACAGTAAACACCACGTTCGCAAAAACAACAAGGCAGTCACCCCTTACGCACCTAACAGACATGTACAGAAAACACACAGGCCGAAACACAGTATGAGTATCCAAAAGGGCGAGGCAAAGAGAGTAGTCAGGAGCTAAGCAAGAGTTCAAACCAGAAGACAAACAAACCGAAGGCAAAGGTAGCCTACCAATAGGGCAAAGCAGAAAGTCAGAAACCGGGAAACCAAAACAGTCATACACAGTAAGAATCAGCCAATAACAATCCAAACACAAGTCCAAAAACGAGCAGAGCTCCCGAGTTAACTCGCTGTCCGGCTTTTCTGGAACCAGGAAGTGACGCGCGGCGCATTGGAGGAGCCGTGGGCGGGGTCTGGTCAGCAAGGCGGAGCCAAGATGCAGCCGGCGAATGACGACGAGGGAGGGAGGTACGGAGCGGAGTCGAAGGAGCGGCGGAGGAATGGGCAAGGGGGCAGACCGGCAGACTTCCGAAGAACCCGTAGGCGACGTGGTTTTGGCAAACATGTGTTTAGGAATTGCCATTAGTATGGAACTGGGAGGGAGCAAAAACATGAACCGTCTGTGGGTCCCCAAAGGTACTGCTGAAATGTATCTATACTTCAGCATAATACACTAAGGGTAACTGTGGATGCATATTTTGCTGGAGGATATACCTCAAACATAATTATACACTGCCACGTCCAGGAAAAATGTTGGATGTTGTCCATCACAACTGCAGAGAATTGTAATCTAATTAATTTTATTTATCCAGGATAAGTGTACTTTCAATAGACATCTTTTAAGTACTTTAGAAGCATGGGAAGAATAAGGCAATGATATTGTGGCCTTTTGGTCTAATAAAATTGGTCATGCTCTTTGTACGCTGCCATTATGCATGCGAGTGTTTGTTGGGGGCCAAGCTTTGAGCTGCCAGCTCTAATTAAGATTCCATTTGTTGGGAGCAGACTTGTATTGAGATAGGGCTGAAGGTCCTCCTCCACTGGCTACACAGTAGAAGACTTGTTTTATACCTAGAAATGCGAGATGCATCAATTGCCACGCAACACATTGCTCTCTCCTTTTGTCTTTACCGAGATAGCAGGTTAGTTAGTGAGGGAGGATTTTTCTCGTACATACCTCACCAATCAGAGAACATCTCAGAGATATTTAGGCAGAAGTAGCATCAAGCAAGGTTGGTCATGACAGGAATAACCTATTTATCCTAAGTGGTTTTACATTACAAATGAGATTTTATTTCACATCCACTTTAGTGTCCTTGTACTACAAATGAATTGAAAGTCAGGGTGGATGGATAGAGATTCCCATTGAAGAAAAATGACGAATAAACGCCTTTTCACATATGTGGGGTTCAGGTCCGTAGCCAGAAAAGAATTAAGGGGGGGGGTCCGAAATTTTTCGTGTGGGGTTAAAGCTCCTCATTTTAATTACTACCTGACTACGTGCCTCGTGGAATTATCCTATATGCAATTTTGAGACACCGCACAGCGCGTTCAATAACGACACTTGCAGATGGTTTTAGTCCAACTTCTCTAACCCATTTAAGGAGGAGGAAGGGATTTCGATGTCGCGCAAATCAAATCAGACACCATTTCAAAAAAATCGCACGTTTAGAAGAATTCCTCCGCCTGCCCATGGCACTTAATAATGGACGGTAATGTATGATGCTTATTATTACATTTATCTCTACCCTATAGTGGTGCCCATGGCAATCAAGCAAACGGGAAATTCACTATCCTCAATGGATGTGCTTGTGTTTCTAGAAAATGTTCCCTTTATGGAATTGCTGTCAGCAATTTATCTAATAAATTCGTTTCACTAATCTTCAGGCAAAAAACAACCATGTGTGTATAAATGAGGTTTACAGCGGTAGCCGGAAAGGGAAGTTTTTAAGTATAAGGCAAAATCCACGCGTAAATAACCGCAAACCGTACGGATCCAGGATGCGTTTTTTATGTTCCTCCTTTTTACCTTCCAGATGCCCCATCTACACGTTTTTTTAACTTGAAAGTATTCAAATAATTGTGGTGTTTCGTGTAATTGTGGCCTTTGTATAGGGCCCACACCTTTTTTAAGTTCGTTTACCCTCGGGACATGCACGGTTGACAATATACCTATTTATTGTTACACTGTAGCCTCTCTGTAAATACATTGTCTGTTCGAATCAATGAAGCAGGCACGGGCTACTGTTTGTTTGTCCCAAAGTTTGCCTAACCATAGAGACCACTGCAGGTGACCTCAGACTTAAACCTACAACACCGACCGCAAAGCTGCGCGGGAAATTACTTCGTCTCCCTTACTCTCCATGTAATGGAAATTGTGACATCCCAGGTTCATATTTGTCATTACGAGGCACAAAAGCAACAAGAAAAAAAAAAACGGAAACAAAACGAATAGCAAACAGCAATAACAACATCCTCTGCAGAACCTTTACTGTCCGTTGATTCACAGCTTGAGAATGAATTCGTCTATTAGGCCTAATGCTAACACCACCATTATTATTATTATTATTATTATTATTATTATTATTATTAATAATAATAATTAAATCAATTAATAAAATGATAAAACACCAATAATAATAAGAACAACAAATAAAATAATAAAACACCAATAATAATTATTATTAATAATAATTATTACCACCACCTACCACTATGTTTATTATTACTAATAGGTTAATTATTACTAGGTTAATTATTACTGATGTATGCTTCCATTCCATTCCAAAGTTAAATCACACACAAAAAAACCGACCCGACTGTACCTGCTTACCTACGGTCATATATCCCGCCTACTTTCAAATCTGAATAATGTACCGTTACTATGGTAATTTACCCCCTCCTCCTCTGAGGAACTACTTCACTTTCTTTTCCATCATGGCTCCTTATGACAGGCTGGGGTACTGGGGCCGTCCGACATCGACCCTGGACTGGTGCGAGGAGAATTACGCCGTATCCTTCTACATCGCGGAGTTCTGTAAGTTAAACCTGTACATGCTGATGGCGTGAAACAAGCTAACAAAAAATGTAGGCCTGCCGAAAAGCAGGAAGGTGCTCTATTCAGGGCCCCTTTTCCTATATGCACTACAAAGCTCATGACTACTCTTTTGCTGGAATACTTATGTGACACTTATGCACACTTTTCATTATAACATTATAACGACCAGAGTACTTATGAAAGTTGGTTATTGAATGTTAACACCGGAACAATCGTACAGTTCAAGTTACAACAAGCTACCCTCTACACGCGGGCGAGCCGGCTATGTCAATCATTTTGTGTTTATGTGTAGAAGAATATTGTTTTAAATGAACTACAAGATACTGCAGTCCTCAGCACTGTATAGTTGATGTACTGAATATCCCGCTTCACGATGCAGGAATGCACGGTAGTCGCAACTTCTGCAGTTTTATTCCGATCACCTTGTGGTAAGAAATGTTTGCATTGCTTAACATTTGTGGTTCTAGTCTGGAAGTTACTGCCTTACTGTGTTGCAACATCTCGAAAGCGGTCCGCTAATGCTGCCCTGATCCGAACCATCCGCGTCCACTTTCGTTTTCGGGCTGCAGTAAAAAGGTCCATTGAACTTCGTCCGTTAGCTAATGGCCAGAGCGCAAATACACGCCTGGCGCCAGCCGAGATTAACCAGTCAGTCTAGATTTGCAATACAAACCATATATTATCCTCTGCAGAACCTTTATAGTCCGTCGATTCACAGCTTGAGAATGTATTCGTCTATTAGGCCTAATGCTAAATATGTTTACACCGATAAGTTACATTGTTGCGAATTGTGCATGATCGTCTGTTACCAAAGGAGCACTTGGTAACATTGTTGACCAGAGGGGGTGTCCCCTAACCCGATGGCCCGGGGGACAGATACCCACCAGCCTCCTAGCTACTGGTTGAAGTTATTGCAATGTGATAGTAGCCTATATTAGTAACTAAAGTGAAATGAGTATGGACGGGGATTGCAATAAATACCGCCCCCCCTTGACACAAACAGTTACATACACACCTGTCTCATAAGGTTGAATATACCTGGAAGGAAACGGGTGTCAGGCTAAGATATGATGCAATCTTCATTTTCATTGTTATTTATTTGAAGTTGCCAGCAAAGCTTCTGAAGTGGTTTGTGCTGTGGGACATGATCAAGCGTATGTAGCTGGCCGTGTTTATAAAACTTTTGATGCGTGTTTAAAATGTACTTGAGAAGTCTCGTTGGTAATCAGATTTCTAAAATTTGAGGTTAGATGATGCATAGTCTGCTATTGACCTCACGTGACCGTGTGACACGTGACCGGTGTACTATATTTTAATCGCCGCCACTTTAAATGCTGGTAGAGCTGGCTGCTAACCAGATTTGAAAACAACCTGCTCTTTTCCCCTCTACAACTTGCAATCGCGTCAGTCTTTGCTGACGTGAAGCAGTCCAGAGCACAGGAACTATCCTTCGGCGTTTCCTGGTTGGAGTTTCAGCCCCGTTACCCTCCGGCACTAACGAACATCAGCTTATCACTACTGGCAGTGGATTGTTCTGCCTGCAACTGCACTAAAATGTATTAGTTAGGTCTGGCCTCTCGTAACGCCTGACAGCGTAAACATTAATTCATTTTGTCTTTGTCCTCTGTGACTACAATTTAGATGTAAAGTATACAAGTCCACCGGCTAATTATGACTTAAGGTTAATTAAAAACTGCTGCTGTGCCATACGCCGCGTTGCAATTTGTAATGCCTTCTTGGAAATCCCATTTTAATTGTAAATCGTTCACGGTAACCATTGTTCCTAATGGTTATTTTAACAGGTGGCAGGTGCTGTTTTGTCATCTCCACGATTATTTCTGGTTTGAAACGCGGTGGTGCTTTCGTGAGAATAGTTAAGTCTATTTGTTTTTTTCCCTTTGTAGACAAAACACAATTTCCTGTGCATAGCTTAGCAAAGTGGCGCTTCAAGCCGCGTTGCCGTGAATAATGGTTGTCGTCAGTGTGGTTATTCTGTCGGTGCTGCGTGTTTTATGTGTTTTAAGTTATTGCAGCTGACCTCGTTTTCTTTCACTTCCAGATGGGGGTGGGGCAGGTCACATTTTATGAAGATGACAGCTGGGCTGAAGACTTTTTGGCATGTAGCAAACTACAATCAGTCACTGATCAAACGCAATCAATCGCAAACAAAGGAATGCCTTGCATTAGGATGTAGCACACTTACGTTGTGTTGTTAAACCTTGTTTTGGCCCATGAAGCATATATGGAGGTGACAGGGAGAAGCTGCACAGAGCTGATGCAGCCAGGGGGATGGCAAGGTGTTTGGGGCTCCTAGCACGCAAAGCTTGTTGGGTGGCAATGACCATGACTGGTCACCAGCATGTAGTCAACCCCACGTGTTTCTAAAGATGTGGGTTCATTTTTGAAAGCAGATGCTGTCATAGACATGACTTAGCTGGCATGTTCGTATATCCTAAACGTGCCCACTTGACGTGTCCGTGGTGGAGGTCATAGGGCAACGAAGGGGGCAAGGCTGCCACTCTCTGCCATCCTGACCTCAGCTGGCCGCAGTGAAGGCAGGAAAATGCAGTGACGTACCTGCAACAGTCCTTTGAGATCAGAATGATGGCGCGCTGACTACTGAATGGTGGGTAAACAGAAATGTACAGCCTCTAGGCGTTTGCAGTGATTTTTTCTCCAGAGCTTGTTCTCTGAGGAATTTACTGAGTGAGAGCTGGTCTAGGTCACCTTATTCAAGCGTCACCTGAGAATGGAATGCGATATGCCCGGGACTGGGAATGAAAGCATTCCAAAGATTAATTGTATACTTTGTGCAGCTGCTCCTAACACTGATCTAATAGCTTATTTTGGTCCATGTTGTTCTTAGTATTCTCTTCATTTTTGTCCTTTTTTTTTATCAATATTGCATTTGCAATGAGGAACAATGTGTAGTGGGTTACAGTAAGTAATGTAGAGGCCCCGGTCCGTGACAGTGACTGAACATTTGGACAGGTTTACACAAATTTGGACACATTTGCACCCCGTCTGAAGTCGTTGGGGATTTCATGCGAGTTATCAGTGAGCTGGGAGAGATTGCTGAGTACTATAGGTTGGGCTTTTCTAAACTAACATGACAGGTCAGTGAGGATTTGAAGAACTGGTTCCACAGACGCACTTTGTCTTCTATTTTAAACGACACAATGTTTATCTGTCAAAAAACAAAAGTAAAAATATTGAATCAACTTCCCTCCCTCTACTGGGGTGACACATGGTGTTTCGAAATAAACAAGCTCAATAAATAAATAATAATAAATGTGTGTGTATATATATAGGTGTGTGTGTGTGTGTGTATGTAAGTTTTTCTCTCTATACATATATACAGTCTAAGTATGAATATATATAAATATGAATATATATGTATGTACATGTGTATGTGTGTATATGTATCTATGTGTGGGTATAGAGAGAGAGAAACTGTCTAAATATGAATTTTTGGGGGTACCCTTAGTTTTAAATCTGATTTTAAAATCTTGGTTTTTGCTGTGTAGTTAAATGTCACTTTGTTCCAGACTTTAGGGTAACCTAAGGGAATAAACAGAACAAAGAGAATCTCTATTTGTTTTCTTATTACTTTGGCTCGTTCTAAGCGTTAGTGAGAGACAAGTCACTGATTTCAGCATGTCAGCAAAGTGGAACAATGGTTAGTGCTCACAGAGTCAGAGCTGGCAAGAGCAGAAACTGACAGGCATCAAACAGCGATTCAGCTTTTTTGTTTTTTTTTTCACTGTGGTGGGATGCAGAAATATGACTTTTTTTCTCTGCATGTCAGTGAATGCAGTTACCATGTTTCACCAATTCGAAACATAATGGTGTTGAGAAAGAAGAAACAATGTATTTTGTTCCCAAGTCAATGGTATTAATGCAGATTAATATTGGATAAAGGGAATGCAAGTTCACAATGTGCCGAATGTGGCACATTCTGTGCCAAAATACACTAACAGTGAAAAGCCTGGACACACCTACTGAAATTCATTCGTTTCGACAATAACATAAAGAAACCAAGCAAGCCATGAAGTAAGGAAAAAAATATAAACAAAGAAAGAGATGGAGCGCTGTCACAGATGACGTGGCCCCCACAATCCCCACATGTAAACCCTATTGAACTGATTTGGGATGAGTTGGATCGAAGAGCAAGGTAGCCAACTTGTGCCCAGAACTTGTGGAAACTCCTTCAGGACTGTTGGATAAGCATTCCAGGTGGCTACATCTGGAAGCTGGCTGAAAGAATGGCAAGAGTCTGCAATGCTGTCCTCCATGCAAAAGGGGGCTATTCTGAATAGTCCAAAATTAGCTAAAATTTTGAGTTGTTGAATGCTTCTCTTGGTCGTTGCAATATTTGATATGCATTACTTCATTGCCAGAAGGCCTTTTGCTATAAGGTGAATAGCATAGTTGAAATAGTCATATTAATAGCAGGTATGTCTAGGCGTGACTTTTTACCGGTACTGTACAATGTTGGATTTAGTGGAGATTTATGTGCTGTTGAATAAAAATAAATTTAAGACAAATCCTATCATACATTTATGATACATATTTATGATGCTTATGTATGTATATATTTATATATTCTGTATACACAAATTCAGCTAAAATGATTGTGTACAGTACATAAGGGGGAAATTCCTTTGCATATAGCAAGAAATACATAAAGTGCAGAAATACATGCAACAGTGTAAAACAAAGACAGGACATGTAGAGCAAACCATTATGCATAGTCAGGGGCTCAGTGGGGGCATGGATATACTGGCAGATTCAGGGGCCCCAGAAATTCACTGGGGCCCATGAATATGTGAAATTATACAGTTGTGTAATGGGGGGGGGGCGCGAGGGTGACATTTTGTCAGTGGGCCCAGATTTTCTAGCTATGCACATAATGCAAACACATCGAAAGAAACCTAAAACGGTAAAAAAATAACTTCTTTAAAATTAACCAAATTCACAAGGACGTCATGTCTTTGGATTAAATTTAGTACGAGCCGGGGTGCAGGAATGAGAGAATTGCAACGTCTCGCCTTGAACCTGGAGCAGTTTTAACCGGGAGTGTCTCATTTTGCAGGGAACACAGTCAGTAACCTGATAATGATCGTGCCTCCGCTTTATGGTGCCCTGCAGACTTTCAGAGATGGCATTGAAATCCGCTTTGTCCTCGCATTTCTCGGAATTGCTGGTAAGCATTGCTCATCCTGACCTGGCGTTAAACCATTGGTTAGATGTTTGTCATGATATTTATCTAATTTTGACAATAGAAGCCTATCACTTGTATCATTTTGTTTAAATGCATCGCTGACATTTTAATCCAAGGATTAAATGGTCTATTTGGGAGTGAATTTGGATATGCAACCTCCCTGCCAAACACAATTTTGTTATCATCAGTGAATATATTTTTCTTACCTCTTGAAGTTGCTTTATGAATATGTAGTAAAAACCTGATTACAATTATGATTCATCTCTTACTGAGGACAGACATTTCATCATAGACAATAAAAGAAGTTTTGTTGCCTTTCAGGAACTGATCATTTTAAAAACAGAAAAGTGCAATTAACCTTTTGTGTTAATCATGGCATGTAATAATTACATGTTATCCTGTCATACTCCATGCTGATTGATAGTACACAAACCATCGTTAGCCTCACTGCTTCTTAACTGTACTGCCAGTTTGTAATTTTCCCGATAGCTGTGTTCGCATTCAGCTGCATTCAGTGTATTAGCTGTGTGAGCTGCATTTAGCAAATGCGTGTAAGTGTAAATAATGGGTTTTGCAGTATCATTCCTCATAGAACTTTTTGCTTCACTTCCAGCTGTTGGCGTTGGGTCTTGGTGCTTCCATATGACTCTACAGTATGAAATGCAGGTATGGGTCTTGGTACTTCCACATGACTCTACAATATGAAATGCAGGTATGGGTCTTGGTGCTTCCATATGACTCTACAATATGAAATGCAGGTATGGGTCGTACCTGTGTCATGGCTGCTTTACTTCTTGGCTGTTAAAACACAAAAAAATTAAATTTAAATAGTCATCCGTTCATCCTTCCACCCATCCATCCATCTTCCAACTTATTATTCTGGTCAGAATCACGGGAGGCCTTGAGTCCCAAACAGTGTGGTAAAATCCTCTAAGGAGTACCTATAAATTTACTTCTTAAAAATCATGGGGCTGAAAATTAAAGAAAAAGATAAAACGTCAAATAGCTTTCTTGAAACCTGAAATATCGGCATACGTTTAAATTGTAATGGCCTTCACTATGGCATGTGCCAGTCAAGGTCATCGGAGAATATATTTTACACACTACCTTCAGATCGACCAGTCTGATCATGCCGGGAACTCCAGTTCTGCGTTAATGTTGAATGATGCACTTTCTGTTTCACCCTAATCCCCCCACCCCTCCATAGTTACTGGATGAGTTACCGATGATCTACAGCGGCTGTATCTTTCTCTACTGCGTGTAAGTGTTTCTCATTCAACTGCTCTAAGTTGGTTTATCCTTTTAATATTTTCAGTTTCTGACAGAAGTCTCATTAAGTTGACAAAGATATGAACTTGTGTGCATTACTGGTAACAAATATGGCCAAATATACTTTACCAGCTTTTGGGTTTGTGAGGAATATATTTGTAATAAATTGGTTGGTCTGATGATTAGATATAAGAGTACTGCACTCAGTGGCCCGTGCCTCATCTCGAGGCTTGTCCTGGTCGTACAGATTTAATGCAGCATGACTTTTTTGGGAAAGTTCCTCCTCCAGCAATGAAAGGGGGCTTTGTTTGAAGCCTGTACTGTAAGTGGTCTGCATCCTCACACTGTATGGGCAACATCCTCACACTGTATGGGCAACATCCTCACATTGTATGGGCAACATCCTCACGCTGTATGGGCAACATCTTCACGCTGTATGGGCAACATCTTCACGCTGTATGGGCAACATCCTCACGCTGTATGGGCAACATCCTCACATTGTATGGGCAACATCCTCACGCTGCATGGGCAACATCCTCACGCTGTATGGGCAACCTTGAGACTTTTCACAGACATGCATATTATTACCCTCCCATTACCCTCATTGGTTTGTAACCCATATTAGTCTTAGAGGTGAAATGCTTAGCGCCCAGTTGTTTCAGACCTTGGTCAAAGCATGGGGATTATAATAGAATATATATATATTCAGATTAAGTAGATACCTGAAGTGTTACAAAAGTGTAGAATTCTCAGGGAGATTGATTTCAGGTGTAGGAAGGTAGCAAACCCCTACTTGAGTTTTGTGAAAAACTGTGGCAATTTGCCTCTCATTCATGTGATAGTTTGCATATAAATAAGTCAAATTTATGAATTCATGTATAACCTTGTTAAGTCTCGCTACTCTGTTTTGTAGCGATAAACAGCAATGAGTTGACTTTGTCGAGGGAGGTGCAGTATAATCAGTGTGATCAGAGTTCTATGTCATATGCCTCCGTAACAGTACGGCCTTGTCATTTGTCATTGTCATTCAACACACTACAGGCAGCCCGTGAAACTCTTTTGAGTCTCTTTAAGAACAAGGTCACGTGCAACTTTTTGGTTGTACACCATGTAGCTGTGGAAAGCCATTTTTTGGCATTTCGAATCTCCCCCTTTTATGTTTTTGGTTTTTCTCTGACAGATATGAATGCTTCAAGCAAGAAAAGACTGTCCATTTCCTGCTCATAACGATCTTGTTGGGATTCAGCATCAGTGTCACACTGGTAAGTCTGAATTATTTCACTGTCAATGTTATTTCACGTGTGTGGCACACATGTTGATGCTGCCCTCACACGCAAGTGTAGAACACAGAGATTTTATTCAGGTTAAAGCTTACAGTGTTTCTGCTGCAGCGTTTTTGTCTCAAACGTTCACCTGCTCACTGCTGGGGGGTGGTAACTTCATCCGGAGGCGTTTCCACTTTGACGTTCCATACAACCCTTTGTAATCTCTGCATGAAAGCCAGTTGAAACTGCTTTAGATTTTTTTTTTTGGGCATGTCACCGTGACAGTATTTGGGACTTTGTATTGCACATTGCGCATAATTTTTTTTTGTAAAAAGTTTAATTTTAAAAAGTTGTCTAACCCTCAGGGGAAGAAAAATGATACTGGCAGAAAGAGAGATTTTCAGATTTTATCTGATGTCAACTAGCCCGATACATGAGACCTTCAGACAACTAGAGGTTATATTATTTTGCTTGTGTATGTAATTCAGGTGCAGACTAGCTGTTCAAAAACGGAGGACAAGCATCTTTCCTCTTTTAATCTTTTAAAAACACCTTTCTAAGCATGGGCTGGCCTTTCCCCCTGATCCATCTTCTAATGTGGATGTTGGCCCAAGCGTTTGATAGGACGGGGTCATGAAACACAATCTGAACCACATGGCCTTCAACAAATTAGCCAGTACATTGTCAGATGTTGCGAATGATGACGTTTTGGCCATGGTACGTTTGCCCCCAGGCACCTTATCCAACAATCCCACTTGATCCAGTGTATCTGCTGAAAGAGATCATTGTGGATCACAGTAAAAAGGTGAAGAAAGGTCAAAGAGGCCATTGTGTGAACCCTTGGTCAATGGCCTGACTAGCTTGATGTTGCAAATGAGAAGTGGATTGGACAGCACATGTTTTTAACAGGTCATGTATGGGTATTGACTATTGTCCATTATTGACATAGTGACAATGTTTTAACTTGTTTTTTTTTCAGGTATATTTACAGTGGAAGGAGCCAGTATTTCATCAGGTTGGTGATCCATGTACCTGAACAATAATTCATAAATCTGCCATGTGTACCAACAGGATTTAGGCACTAATTATTAATGTTAAAGTTACTGGAGTAAAATGTAATATTTATTTTGGTTGCCTATGAATTCAATGAAAACGCTGAAACTCTTTCAATCAAATGTGGGGCGGCATCTCTATCATTAAGCCATTTTTCTAAAATGTCCTCGATGTAGCAGATGTGCTGTGCTCATTTTGGTATGTTTGGGAGTCAGATATCTCCTGGGGCCTTTTAGATGTTTCTTGATACCGGTTCCTCTAGATCAAGTATCGTTGGAGAACCCATGGCTGAAACAAAGGAAACCAACTCAGAACATACGTTCCGTTGTTTTCTTTTTTTTTAACAAGGTCAGTTGTGGCTTTGTCAACGAGATTTAAGTGTCTCTTTTGAAAACTGTTTCTAGGCCAGTCACCTTGCTTCCTTGGCTTCTCAAAGTTGAACTTTGTAAGGGGCCCATACTGTTACTGTAGCAGTAGTAGGTTGTGTCTGCCCCTTGTGAATGTTGACATCATTCACAGTGTTTGTGGAAGATGAAATCAACGAATTGTGCAGATGACTCTTGGACGTTTTGCAGCCAGGTCAAAGGTCAAAGAAGCTGCTCCGTGAATGCTAGGTCAGTGGCCTGCGTGGAGAATGCAGGAAGCTGGAGTAGATTGAGACAGGCAGAGGCGCAGTGACCAGAGAGGCTGGGCAACCAATGGCTTGAGGCCCCGAGCTGGGATGGGGCCCCTAAGGGCGGATGATTACATCTGTTGTATCTGTGTACTCTATTTTTCACAAAAGTGAAAATAAAGCTCTTGTTTCTCTAACAAATTCTCTTTGTTAATATTGTTAATTTACGCTTCACAGTAAAATAAAGGTAATAAATGTTACCATGCCAGGGGAGGGGGACTTGGGGGGCTCCATGGAGTTTTTTTGTCTAGGGCCCCTGGGGTCCCGAGAATCACCTCTGGTGGCAGGCAGGTGTCCGGTAAATTGGGAATGTTAAAAGGAAAATGTGAGGGCCAGTCGCAGGGCCAGCGGTCGCAGCTGTACCTTCACGCCGACAGACCAGTCACGGCCACCTAGGGCAGAGTCCGGACAACAACACCATACAAAGTCAGATCCATTGCTAATAGTGTCGCCTCCCAGACATTCCAAGGGGCTGTCATATACCATATTGATTTTACTCAACTGGGATGTTCGCGGTATATATACCAGTAAGCGCTTTAGTTCAACTGTAGTACTCAGATTGGTGTGTCACTGTTAAAAACATGTCCCTAACCTTTGTTCCACATACAGTACGGCTGTCCACTTTCAGAAACAGGCCTTCTTCCCTCGTGATGATGACAATCAAGAAATGTCTACTGTCTACTTTGCAGAAATGGCAGTCATCTCCTTTTAAAATATTTTCACTGAATTGCAGTGGTTTCTTGTGCTATGATCTTGCTTGTTAAGGACATTTAAGTTTGTCAGTGAAAAACTCCAATAGGTAGGAAATTAAACAAGAAGTTAGTGACATTTTAGGCTCTTACTGCAAAAGTTGTTTTGAGCGATTTGACATTTGAAAGGGTTTTTCTTGGGATCGGCCAGACAAGAACAGGGTGATTCGGAGCATATCCGTTTGAATCAAAACAATGTCGTTATTGTGTCTCTCAAAGGCTTTTTTGTTTGGAGGCTGTTGCTTCATGGGAGTATCCCGTATAATAGATGTTTATCTTTTGTGAGCAGTTGTGGAGGATGGCGCTTGTAGCGTTACTTGCATGTACTTCACATTGTCCAATCAAGTGGCCCTAATGAAAGGCACATCAAAGGGTTTCAAATGAAACGTCAACCTAATAGGCCCAACTGTAGCAAATATTACTGATGAGTTGGGGACCGTCATCAAGCTCAGTTCTTGTATTTGAACATTGAACTAGCACCACCTAGTGGCTGGGCCCTCTACTCAGTTTGCAGTGTTATCTATTGTGTTAATCATAAAAATATGACTACGCTACAGGTTGACAAATAAACAGCAGGACTTAACCATAAAAATCTAAATTAAAGATCTAGATTGTTTAAGGATATTTCCCAGTGAGATGACACTTTAAGAATTGTTTGACCCATTCAATGATTTATTAATGAAGAATTGTGATGTCTTGTTGGCAGTGAAAGATCTTCCGGGGTGCCTTTAATTGCTTGCTGGGCCAATTGTAAAATAGCAAACTGATTTTCCCAATAAACCAGTGATGAAGGTTGTTTAAATATTTGTCTTCTGGTGCTTTTGTTAAAGCTGTTTTACCAGATGTAACTGTATCTGGGCTCAGTTGAAGTTTACTGCAACACCTTAGTGACATGCCTTTAAATTTATGTGTTGCATTGTGGAATATATGAAATATAGCATTGTGCAATGACTTGTGCATGACTTGAAAACACAATGAATTATACTGTATACACAGTGCTTGAAATGGGCTGGTACTCACCAGTACTCAGTACCGGCACCTGGTACTGAATAACAAGGGGAGTACCGGCACCTGGTACTGAATAACAAGGGGAGAACCGGCACCAGTTTTTCCCCACTTCAAGCCCTGGGAATCATGTTTTCTTAATAAAAATTTATATGCATAGTTATATATAAAAGGACCACAACTTGCAAGAATCGTGCCCAAATCCAGCAGCCATTCAAACTGGTTTTCTAAATAAAGAAATCAGAACCCAAAAGATACCTAATTGGATATTTGAGAAGAATAATAAGAAATCTTAATTACAAAACTGTTTTTTTCCCCATTCTGAATTTTTAGGTTGTCTATGGGATGCTAGTGAGCTGCCTGGTTTTACGATCCCTGTTCATAGTCAGCTGGTAAGTGTTCAGTCCGCATGACACCGCAGAGTGGCTGCCGCTTGGGTTCGGGGTTGTCGTGTGCCTCCGGGTGATGAAGGCCCTTGTGCTTCCTCGCAGGGTGTACCCAAATCTCCGACGCCTCGCCTACACATCTTTAGCGGTGTTCCTGCTGGGATTCGCACTGTGGAATATAGACAATCTCTTCTGCAGCACACTGCAGTAAATATCCACCAGCCTTGTCCCACTTGGGAACCTGTTCATTTTCAGACACATCAATTAGCAGGGCAGCAGTTTATAGATCGTTTTTATTTCCATGCTTCTGTACAATTAGCTAAACGCTAATGTAAAATGAAATAACCCATAGTCAAGAAGGCAATCAATTGTCTGTAAATAAAAATGCAAATTTGTTACTGTTTTGCAGCTGTCGTGCCAGTAGTGCAGTTTGGAAGAAGAATATAATAATGAATTAGAAAGCTTTATATTATGTATTAGAAATTATTTATGATATTGTAAAATTCTATGTTCTTATCTCCTGTTTAGCCAGCACTCGCCACTGATTGCAGTATGTGATGCTCTTTTGACGCCTTTGACTTCTTCCGCAGAAGTGCTCGAAAGAGGGTCCCGCCTTTGGTCGGGGCGATGACGCAATTCCATGCCTTGTGGCATATTCTGACGGGCCTGGGGTCTTACCTGCATGTACTCTTCAGGTGAAGAGGAGCTCTTACCGCTACGCCTAAAGATCAGCTCTGATTGGCTTAGTAGGGCTCTGGCCTGATTGGTGGTATGTTTCCCAAAAGCTCCAATTAGCAGCTTACATAGTTGGAACCATTCAGTCACATGGTTCCAACTGTATAAGCTGCTAATTGTGTTAGGAACTATGCTTTTGGGAAATATACCTTAGTTAATGGGCCTGATAAATGATTTGAGACCTAATTTTACGGGTTATTGGGATTTTTTATGGATAAACATACTATGCATTTACACATTTGAATGACATGCATCTCCCTTTTGTGTTTTTTCTTGTTTCATAGCCTTCAGATAAGGATTACCTACCTCAAACACAGATCATATGTAAAGGTCAGTATGGGGTTTTGAAAAGACTAACATCCACCATACTACATGGCCTTATTCGTTTTTTTTCTTTGACAAAATGTTTCGTGTAATTGCTCTTTTTGGGTATATCACAGTTCGTCTATGGGGTGTGGCCTGTGGTTCACGTCGATATTGACAAGACTTTCTGAGTTCGAAGATATAAAGCACAAGAAAATCAACAGCCATTGCTGTGCTGGGACACACCAATGCCCTTCAAATGCTACAGGCTAAATATAGTTTTACCGACATGCAGAGGGATTATTCTTTTAATTAAAAATTGCTTCTGAACCTAAGTTCCATTTCAGTCACTGAGAAAATCCTTACATTTGAAAACACATTCATATAGTCCAGGTTGATCCAAAACAATAATGTTAGACTAAATTCATATTGCATATTTAGCATACAAGGAATACTGACTGTACATTACTGTTGTATAATTTCAACACTAAGTTTTTAGCAGAACAGAAATGATCGAGATATACATGCAACAGGAATGCAATTTTATTGTGTGCTTAAAGCACTGTCACATTTCTTGTGTATAAGTCATGCTAAGTAATGTTTTCTAAAGGATTGACTTCAGATTCACTTTTACAGTGTTGAAGGCTGGCTGTACAAAGATTTTTAATTTGATTTTTAATATGTTTTTAGTTAAAGGTTTGTGCTGGTCACAATATGATGCCTAAAAGTTACTCCTCGGTGAAAGGTCTGTTTTTCACATTTGTTATGTTTTTGTTTTATTAACACACAATTTTATTGCTGAAAATATAATTCACATAATTTATGACAGCTTAAAAAGTTTTTTATTGCCAAGTCAGTAAGTTGCAAAATAGGTTTTTGAAATTACATGAGAGTTATAACTGTAATATTTGTTTGCACCAATGTTTTCTAACAGTTGATTTCGTGCATATTTGTAGCAAACAGCTGATCTAATCTGGGGGCTGTGTAATCTACCTCCTGATTGTGCTGTCTACCTAAACACTGGACTGAAACAAGTACATGGTTTAATGTTAATTACTTGTATTGCATGGGCGGAAGTGTGGGTGGTGAACTTTTAGTCTGAAATTCATGAATTGTACAGGGCGTTGCCATGAAATTCATTTCATTATTGCTAAATCCTCTTGCTTTGTTTATTTCCTCATTTTCCTTCGAAGCAAATTTGCACAGATGGTTAATGGCCTTGCTACATGTGTATTAGGAAATCATTAAGTTATATTGCGTAATTCATGAGCAATGCTTAGAAATGATGCAATACTATAATATATTATTAGCACAATGGGTGATCAGATTTTCTGTTCTTTTTTTCCAATACTGGGTCTGTTTCTATAGCATTAGTTTATAGTATTTTTGTTTTACTATCATTATGCTTTTACTCATGTAGCTTTTAATCAAAACACAAGCACTCAGAATGTATACCATTGTTGGATGACTGAAAATAACTGGATAATGAAGATCTGTGATAAACCACATTCTTTGACCTTGTGTTCATAAATGGGTGAATGTGCCTTTGTGGATAACAATCATTTTGTTGTTGATTAAATGTACTGTATTTGCAAGCAACTGCCAGTAATTTAGTGTCTGGCAGTTTGATTAATAAAAATAGACCTTGTTCTTCATTCTGTCTTCTGAAGTGATTTCTTCATTACTGATAATATTTTTCTCGAAATTCAGTTTTGTCTTGTGCTTTATATAATAGCTGCTTATAGTGGAATCGCTGTACGGAAATGTATGAACACTGACATCCCCAGAAATGTAATGAAGACCGGAGGGAGAGGGTTAGGGGGGTTATGAGGGATATCTGGACACACAGCTTGAGTAAGAGAAGAACTTGCACAGTACAGAGACCCCATATGAGTTGATGTCAGGGGTGGAGAATCTTCCCCCAAAGGCTTAACCTGAAGCTGTGGTGTCTTTGTAAGGTTATTTTCTGCGTTCCTGTCACGCAGATGGAAACAGAGTTAGCCGTAATGTTTCTACATTTGGACCATTTGGGGAGATTTGGTCAGTATTTGAGTGACAGTATACAAAAACTCTTTAATGTGATGGCATTCTCCAGTATCTACAAACAAACAACAAACAAACTTCTTATTCACAAGTAAAAAACAGAATGCTGCTTCAATTTCAAATTTGCTTTTTAGATGTTTCATTTGGCAAGGAAAAATATTACAGCTCCCAAAAACATCAGTATAGTTCTTCACTTGAGTTACTGGGCAAACCAGGTCATAAATAAAAATACTAGCCAAGCTTAAAGATGATGTTGAAATCAGATTGCTCAGTATGCTGCAATTCATTAATCGTGAAATACTGTTGGCAGATTATTGTCATATCATGGAATACAGTATCTTATCATATAGTGTCCCCTGTGCTGTCAGCATCTTTTATTCCTCAGTATTTATTAATACATAAAAGAAAGAGGATGTTGACATGCTTTATCTGGAAAAAAAAATAAAATATGTGAAAACAGGACAGGGGGAAAAAATTAATTGGAAGTAAATGTTTTCATATTCAAAAGCTGGCACATAAAAATTCCAAAGAATTTCCAAATTCTCATCATCTGGATGTCCAGAAAGGCCGTACGTGTTTTTTTTCACCAAAAGTCGATTTTCCTTACTGTTTTTAAGATATACAAAGATCACATACTTGGCTAGACATATCTGCAGCATGAATCAGCATGATCAATTCATTCAATGTTACTTTGAACAGAGATTCGACTCAAAACGAAATCATGGTTTATACAAGCTTGTTCCTTTTTTTTTTAACAAAATTTGTTTTTTGTTCGCGAAAAGTTGTTTTTAACCAGTTTTTTTCCCTAAAATTAGTATAACATTATTATTCTTTGTTTTTCGCTAATAGTTTATTTTAAAAGTAATCTCTGCATTTGATTTATACAGTACAGCACTTGGTTTATACTGGATGGCTTCATTTATACGGTTAACCAACTTCTTAACAATGCTGTTGGGGCAGCCTGACTGTTGACTTGACACCCCCCCACCTCTGCTTGTGTTTGGCGTGAAGCATTATCCTTTAGTCTTGGCTATAAAAGACACAGAATGAGACCAAAGCTTCCACAATATCTTCCACATTTTAAAATTAAGAGTTGTATATTTTCATGAAGATCCTTACCTTTTTTTTTTCTTTTGCTGCACCTTCTTTGTGTGTGTGTGGGGGGGGGACTGGTTTTACCTCCAGGTTACCCAGTAAATTCTAGCCCAGGTCTCCTGTAGGTAGACAGCACACCAGTCATTTTAGCGCCATTTTTAAGTTATTCTTCAATTAAAACGCTACATTGTCTTTTGCAATGCTACATAAGTAAATGTGGTATATGAAATATATTTCACTGCTGTCATATTAAACAAACAGAGGCATATTTGAACCTCTGTGAGGTGTTTAATATAATCAAATACCGCATGTGTTCTTTAGAGATTATGGCTAGCTATAGCTATACTTACAAAAACTCAGAGACTGACTCTTTTGCTGGTGTTCAGATAACAATGCACTCTTCTACGAAATCCCAAGTCTTCCTAAAATATCATGACCCACTTTGCCTAATTCTTCATCTGGGTCGAGAGAAAGCCCGGCCGATGTGGGCATGACTTTCTTCTCGAGGAGGTTCATAATATCCTAAGGACCTTCCCCATGTTGGCTCTGCTCCTTCTCGATGGCCTCCATCATGATAGAGGCTGTCTTAGTCTATTCCATTGTTGAAATTTCTGTTTTGGGTGCTTTTCGCCTCTTGGCCAGCATTTTTCTTTGGACATCCAGGATAGAATCACCAAATTTGGCACATAGTTGTCTGTTGCTGTTGGCCAGCGAGAAGTTTGGGGATAATGGTCTCGGAAGTTGTACCTGTTTGTAGGCCAGTTCTCCACTTCTACTATCAAAATGGATAGAAAACAGAGGGGCAAGCAAACGTTAGCAAATAAAAAGTAAGACACTAACCAAAAGTTAATAGACAACTGAATTTAGAAAACGACTGCTGGGTAACTTCCCCCGGACCAGCACAACCACGTTTAGGCCCTAAGAAAAATTTGATTAACTTAGTTGTCATTTGTCAATTTCCTACCCATTCGACAGGCTCTTTAGGTGGGAGGCCCCCTGGTGGTCATTTGGTCCTAAGCAGCCTCTTGTTTTACTCATGCCTAGAGGCTGCTCTGTGCCGGCCCTTTGCTTTAATTACTACTTCAGAGTATCATAAATGACTTTCTGATCGTTGATGGTAGAAAACTAGTATCATACTGCTCAAGTCATACAACTACTGTAGGTTTAGTTTGCTAACCCTAATTTGGGGCCTTAGGGTGAATCAACAGGTAGTTGGAAAGTAGGCAATATGCTACTAAAGCATGCTGAATTTTGTTTT